GGTGCTTCTACTCCCCAGTAACCATCCCCCCCCCCCCCCCACCCAAACACACACGTATGGAGGCATCCTCCCAATACCCTCCTTTCGTCCTCCCCAAAACTCCACTACCACCCGGCTGAGACACGACAGTTTCGCACGTAATGGCGGCGGTGCGAGGGAAAGGCACGCAACAGCAGCAGCAGCAGCAGCAGCTCCCCTCTCCTCCCATCGCTTTGACAAGTGTGCCTGCATCCTCCGTGACGCCCTGCTCCACGCGTGCGTACCGGAGACACACACAGACACGCACGCACAAAAGAAAGAAGAAACAAAACCAAACAAGCAAACATGAAGGATACGTACATTGCAATGCATGAACAGATTTGTGGACAAAAACCGAGTCAAAGTAACGATTAAAAAAAAAAAAAAAAAGATAAAAAAAAAAAAAAGAAGATGTGACGGGCAAAGAAGCAAACGACAACAACATTTCATGTCGCTTCACCTCCTCCTCTCGCATCTCACATATTCTTCACATCCCAGCCAGACGGGTGGGCATCCATTTCCCCACTCCTTTTGTTTGTCACGACATTCCCAATTACGTGCGCTCAAAATAAAAAAAGAAAAAAAAAAACAACAACAAAACAAAAAGGCCAAAAAAAAAAAAAAAAAAACATAAAACAAACGGTCCATGAAGCCAAAAAGAGAGAGAAAAAAAAAAAAAAAAAAGAACGCGTTAAACATCGATTCAGTTGCATTTGGGGTTAGTGACTTTGTATACATCTTCACCGCTTCCATTTTCTATCACTCCTGCGTACACTTCAGTAACAGTTAAGCTCATATGTGCGAATTGACAAAATCATCGATGCCTGATTTATTTATTTATTTATTTATTTATTTGTTGTTTCTTCTACTGAAAAACTTATTTGCGTTTGTTTTACGTCAACATCCATTTTTGTGCCACCCCATAAAGTGCGTTTTAAAACAACAACAAAACACACACAAACACACACACAAAAAAAAAAAAAACACAAAAAACAAAACATATATATATATATATAAGAGACACGCCCCTCTCTCTCCCCCCTCTCCTTCCAATTCTTTTCGCTGACATTTTTCCACATTTTTTTTTTTTTTTTTTTAGGAGGGGCGAGTTCCCCTCAGCCGGGGAAGAAAGAAAAGAAAAAAAAAAAAAGAAGCCCCTTCTTTTTCCTTTCTCCCCCCTAGCGATGAAGGGCTTTGGCTGCACACCACAAGAAGAAGCGCTGACGTCGTATTGATCCCTCGCGCGTGACTGACCCGCCATTGGGCTTTTGTGTCAGCGTGAAGACCGCCGCCGCCGCCGCTGCCGTGTTAATAATTTCTTCCGATTTAATTCCCGTCCCTCTCCCTCACTGTTACAACGACGAGGACGTCACACACAAACACAAACACAAACACATACAAGCACAGACACACACATACACCGCAAAGATCCACAGCAATTAAGCCCCATACGCGGATGAAACAGCGGAAAAAAAAAAAAAAAAAAAAAGCAAAAAAACAAAAAAAAAAAAAGAAGAAAAGAAATAGCGGAAACATTACACACATGCCACTTTTCAATCGCTACGCGCGTCCACACACCACCGACATCTTCTCTTCATTGACTCCCAATATCTTATCTCTTAAAAGACCTGCGGCGTATTCATGGGCTCCATTTTCGCACAACTGCCTTCACTACTGAAAAGGCGAGCATACCAAGTATAAGCAAAAATAAACAAACGAACAAACAAAAGAAGCAACTCGTTTCTTCTTCCTGGGCCTTTTCCCCCCCTCCCCCTCCCCACCAAAAACCCATTTTCCAATTCTCCGTACAGCAATTATTGCACCATACATACAGCATCTTCGCTTACTTTTTCACGGGGTCTCCAAAAACCCATTCTCCTCCGCATTCGTATGGTCCATGTCCGGCGAGACCTTCTGAAGCTCCTCTATTGTCTTGGCAGGCGTGCTGCCCGAGGCATTCCACTGAAAAGAAGGAGATAAAGCACAAAAGCTGTTATCAAACTCGTGATGAGCTCCAAAAAGCGCAGAACGATTATCGGGAGCAGCGGGCGATGGATCCGCTTTTGTTCGCATCCCCCATACACCATTGCCCGCATTGGAACCACCGGTCTCTGCACCAGCACAACTGTTTGGCATCGTGGTGCAGCTATTTCCCGCACTCCGTATGGGCTGTACCCATCCAAAGCTGGGGGAGGCGGCGCAGCTTGAGCTTCCACCAAATGTGTAGGGATTGTTCGTGTGCTTGTAACTTCGACCGGCATGACTTATATTGCTATGACTCGCTTGAAGGGAGGACTGCGATCGCTCATCTCCGTCCACCACCGTCACAAACTCCCCTAAAGGTAAAAAGGCTCCAGCAGAATTGTTATTACGCGAGCGGGAATTAATGCAGTTTGTACCGTTGGCAGAAATGTTTTTGTTCAATCCCTCCTGCTGTTGCTGATGATGTTGATTTGAGCGTGTACCCGTGGAGACCACCCCCTGTGATTTCATGGGGGTACATATTATTTCAGTTTCCGCAGAAAATGGATAATCAGAAACGTGGCTCCTGGATTGACGAGTAGCAAAGGAATTGATGCCTTTGCCCTCTCCCTTCACGTGGCAAGCGTCGTCTTTTCTTTTCTCCCTCCTTTTCGCACCAGTCTCCCCCACAAATTTTTCGGTGGGTTGTGGTGTTGAGAGTGGTGATGGAACAAACGGTTGGGCCTGCGGATTCAACTCCCTCGCGGGGTCATACATATCATTCGTGGCGATGGCTTCCCTATCGCAACGTGACAGGAGCGATTCTAGCACGGAGTTCATCTGTTCCCAAAGTTCTCTGCGCTTCTCCTCAGGAAGTTGCTCGCCATTGCACACCCACCGACGATGCAGCTGCAAATACGATTGATCCACGTGTATCTGATTGCAGCACGTATTGGCCGTGCAACGGCTGCGCTGAAATAGCATACAAACACTTGGAGCCTTCTTGGCGGATCCCTGAAATAAGCCACGTGAGAAGCCGGCTATACTGGCTTTTGGTAGGCTCAAGGTGGTCTTGAGCTGAGGGTCGTGGACAGAAAACAGGTGATCTGGAGGGAGCTCATTAAAACGTCTTTCAAGACCATTAGACCATGACTCAAACTCATTCTTTTTAAATTGCATCCACCCTTGCTCAATGTGTACCTGATTGCACCACTTTCCCCACTTGCACTGAGAGGGATCCTCAGAAATAATCCACATGCTGTCGGCACTTGCGATGCCATCACCGCAAATTGATTTTGATGTCCACTCCGCGCCCTTCGTG